TTATTACCATGCTGAACTAGTGATTTCCTGGAAGATTTTAGCTCGGAGAAATCACAATGGGCTGAATGCACGTTTAAAAGAAACATTGGAGTTGGCAGATAGAAAAATCCCGGTTTTTGGATCCGGATCGGTGAATCTCATACAGCACAGATGAAATTTCAGTCCTCTCGGTGCAAACAGGCAATAACAAAAAATACCAAACTAAGTAAGTGGTAATAGAAAAGACATCAAATAAACAGTCAAGGCACTTTACAGGATAAAAACAGGTGCCTTTATTTTGGTAGGAAAGGATGGAACCGTATTTTATTTTTTAAATCTAATTTTGGGGGCTTTTCATGCCTTTATTTTGATAGGTGTCCTGTAAAATACAAGGACATCTCTGATAAGATGATATTTAAGGAGGTCCTTTTGAATTATTGCATGTGGAAAACTCAAACTTTACAGATTAGTCGATGAAATCAACTAATCAGTTAGTCGATCAATTCTATGTCTATTAGTTGGCTAAGAATGTCTTTAGTCGAGGACAGTCATACGCTACAATGATTTTCAAAATGTTCATAGCATAGACCCCACACTTGTTACACTTAAGGGGCACAGGCCCTCATTTTATGTAAATTTGTCTCTTGGACCCAAATCAGAGAATATTTTTATTAAACCTAGATATGATTTAGTCCAGAATTCCATGACTGGAAAACCCGAAAGTGCCCTTGCTGGTCCCAAGAGCCAACATTATCAACCTGGCCTACTACACAGAAATCCCATTATCTTAGTAAAACATTTCAACACAGCATCAACTGATGCAAGGGCCAATGATACTTGAGAAATGTAAACTTTTGGAGAGGCCTCATTGCTGGAGATGCCATCATCATCATCATCATTAGAACCATGGACAGTGTATCTGTGTGTATGCTACAACAGCATCAGTGATGAGGCTCTGGCAGGAGTGCTCTTGTTAAAGGCCTCAGGTCTTTGTAAAGTCGTATTGCCTCTGCAGCGTTATGACACTGTGCTATGTTGTTCTCTTCCATCACCATCGAACAGAGTTCATGCAGCTCATGGTCGCAGGGAATGTCTGTTTTCCACAGACAGATGTCCTCTTGGAGAACAATCCCCACTCTTTCATACTGTAGTGGATGCAAATAATCTTGTGCGTGATAGAGCTCAGGTACATTGTACATCAGACATGGTTTTCCATGATAATCAGGGTGTCCGTTTCCACCTGGTCGAATGCGATGGTTGTCCCACGTTGTCACAACGGTGTCTAGCTCGTTCTGCAACACAAAAACATGAGGATTTCAATACGTATGATGACTTCTTTTGACAATGAGTACATGGAAGAAGCCACCGTAGCCGCCTTACACTGTATATATTTATTTTATATGTTAAAGCACCATAATGGGGAAATGCAGTATTGTGTTATGCTATGGTGGAGTTATCAGCAGAATAATACTGTGCTCCAGCTTCCTGCACTCAGCCATAGTAGCCTACATAATGAAGACAAGAGTACTGAGCCCAGGACAAAAAAACCTACATATTGATGCCCAATAGGCTTGGAGAAGAAGAAATATGTAGCTACAGACAGAAAAAAGTCCAGAGAGCTCAGAAGTTTAGACACATGTTATGAGGGTGCTCTTTGGTGCGGGACACAAAAATTCATAAAAGAAGAGGAAACCGAGACCTAGAAACAATCCAAAAGAATATTTGTGGTGATCCAATTATTATTGCAGAGAGAAACATATACCAAATGCAGGCTACAGTATACCCAGGACTCAATGAGGAAACTGATTTCAGTCCTTTTTAGAGTTTTTCTTGTATTTGTGGTCTGATGCCTGTGTTGCTCTAGAGATTTTGTTGCTTGTACATTTATCATTCTTGTTTTGTCTATCTCTTTAATTAGTTTGTCCACATTTTTCCATCATATATCTTTCCTTACATTTTGAAGAGCCATCTACTGGTGAGACCTTGTACTTTTAGCTGTGAGTTCATCGTCTACCTGCTCAGGTGTGTGTAATGAACCTGTCTGCTTAAGGGGAGTCTGTGTGCTGTAGGTTACACCCTGAAGAAGGCTGTTGTGCCACTACGCATCAGATGTATCCCAGCTCTACTTTGATGTACTAGTCTGTTTTTAACCATTGTATGCTCAAATTGACCCCATCTGTTTTGGACTGTTCCTTCTGTTCCTTCATTCCTTCTTTCTTTTCCTCTGCCTCCTCCTCCTCTCTTCTTCCTCGTCCTTCGTCCTTTTCTTTACTCCTTCCTTTACTTCTCTCCTCTGTCCTTCCGTCCTTCCTTCTTCCTCCTTTCTTTACTCTCTTCCTCCCTTCCATGCTTGACCTGAGTACAACCGGAGAGTTAAATATTTCTTGATGATATAGCTATCTTAATAAAGACTATTTACATTTTTGTTGCCAGAGTGCTTTTGGTTTCCTCTTCTTTTTGGAAATATGGAGCTACATTTGACTCCAAGTAGCTCGTCATCAATTGGATATGGAGGGAAAGGAAAACAAGTGAACCCTGAACAGTAGTCTTTATCAAACCCTGGACAGCTCCACTTCAGCTTCATCATTTAGTTACATCTGTGGGTCAAATACTGAGTCCAAAATCCCATGTAGGCCTATGTGAACCCAGCATTAAGCTCTATGTTAACATAGTGTAGTTCTATGTTAGAAATAATAATAATGAAAGCATAATGTTTATGTCAGGGTGGTTGATAGAGAAACAGAGCAGGGACCCCCTTATAGTTAAAATGAAGTTATGTTGCATTTTAAGTGTGATCTATGATAACAAGTGCACAGCAGGATATCAGGATTGACACTCCTTTAATAGGATAGATATCTTTAAACTGTCAATCAAAGGCGCATTTATAAACGTCATTCATCAGCATTTTGATTGATTTATCCTTAGTTGTGACACTGTTAGAAAGGCTGGACTTCTACTGCAGAGTAACTGTAGAACTGTGTGTTTAGTTCAGGGACTATGCGCCACCTACTGGCTGGCTGTATTAATGCTCACGGTTAGAAGGCAGACAGCAGAGAGCACAGTTGCCATGTGCTCGTTATTGCACAGCTGACAGAGCTGTAGTTGTCCCAATTAATGTTGTGCGTTCTTGAATACTTGTAAGTACTTCCTCTTTTGTTGTTCTTTAGGTTTTGTGTGGAGACAGCTCTTTCTCCCTAATTCAAGTGCTTAGATTACCATTCTGCCTGTATGCCAGCTACTATGCTATTTAATTAATGTTAGCTCTAGCCTGGTCATTTATCTGTATTGTTATTACATCATATATTCCATTGTAATATGGGGTTATGCTGTTGTATATCAATGTGAAAGTGGAAATTTAGTTGTTAACTTTGGTGTAACTTCGTGTTACTGATTAGTGATGTTAATTATCCAATTAAGGGCTGCATCACGGGCTGCAGGTTATTATTGACATTTAAGTTAATATAAGTAGTAGTATTTGATGTGTGAAATGGTGTATATTTTATAGTTACACAGTTTGTCTGATAACACTGTACTTGTTATCTCTCGTTTCTGTAGAACCACAACTAATAGAATAGTCATCTACATCTGTCATCATCACTATACCTACATCAAAAGCCTACAATAAAGGAAGTATATTGGATCCTGGATTGTTTAATTGTGTTCTGACCTAATTATTTAACCGAAAAAGATTTGTTTTTGTATTTCCAGCCTGACCAGATGGTGTATAATTCAGATCTCTGTAAGATTAGCTCCTGCATATACATATACATATATCACGCCAGCGTTTGTTGTCAGTGGTAGACATGGTGCAAATTACACAGTGGCTTGCAGGGTAGCCCTATTTTATGGTGCGCACTGCAATTGCAGTCAATTCCGCAAAAAACATTCTACTATTACTACTGCAGACAGTTAATACTGTCATAGTCTAAGTAACAACATGCAGCTACTGTTTCAAAATGAAAGAATACCTTTATTAATAAATCAATGATGAAATCAGAAGGGGTACCAAGGCAACATTTAGCCAGAATTAGACATGTCATGGTAAAAATAATAAAGATAACCTTTGTTAAACATTGATAAGTAAACTTGTGTTATTTAACAAGAGAA